TATATGCTAATAATATACAACTTTCTGACAGCAAATGCATGTGTCCACTTAGGTTCAGTGTAATATTAATATTAATTATAATGTCACCAAGTGGTACAGTGATATTACACTTACACACCAAACTGTACGCTGACTGGTTAATAACCAGCTATCTCCTTCACAGAAGAAGATTGTTAAATTTAGGCGGATAACTCAAGATTAATGGTGGAAGAGACGACACATCCGACTCTCTTCTGTATAGTAAGAGCAAAACCTTTTGACCTTCCTCACAGAACAGGATTCTTACTCTCAGAACCGCTTACTAGTGTTGGGTCGTTCTTGAACTATTCGTTCATTTTGAACGAATCTTTAATGCGACTCGGGAAGAACGAGTCGTCTCGGGGAGTGATTCGTTCAGTCGCGCATGCGCAACATCCTATAGGTTCTGTACTGGAATTAGTCAAGTAGTTCACCTGTTTCGAGTCTTCGGGTTTTTCCGAGTCATTCGTTCATCACGTGACAGCCCCATAAGCTTAACCTATGCAGTCTGAGCCGGAAAGAGACTTAATAATAATAACCAACTCTTTGTTACCTTTGTTACAACATTCAGTGTTATGGAAAAGAATCATAATGCCGATACTTTATTTTCAACTTTTTGATTTTTTCCTTAATTTTGATTGAAAATAAATGCCTTTACGATGTGATACGAGGGAGAGAAAAAAAGTTCGGCAAAAGGCGGGATCGAACCCGGGTCTATCGCGTCAAAAAGCTAATAACACGCGCTTATCCATCTGCGCCACTGGAGCTGATATTTTACAACCACTTTTAACTAAATGTAAATAGACACCCCATATTTTTTATTCTATAGTAAGGGCAATTCATACAATACATTTAAACTGAGCTACTTTAATACTATCTCCGCTATAATGTGAGCAGAACTGAGCAAAAGCAGAAGAATTCCAGGGGCCCCAAAGGCAACATGGATGACCGTGAGTCAGATTTCCTGCCGCCAACAAGTCTGGAGCGACATACCAGCTATCTCCTTCACAGAAGATGATTGTTACATTTAGGCGGATAACTCAAGATTAATGGTGGAAGAGACGACACATCCGACTCTCTTCCCCCCGAGGACAGAGAGCAAAACCTTTTGACCTTCCTCACAGAACAGGATTCTTACTCTCAGAACCGCTTACAGAATAGCTGCCATAACATGTGTAAAATAGGCGGTCTATATACCAGAAGGGGGGCGGAGCCTATGAGCGTCGCTCACACTGCTGTTTCTTTCCTGGCTCTTTCACACTGTTCAGACTCGGTGGAAAACTCCTCCAACATAGAGGGCACAGGTAAATAATGATTTCTATCAGTGCTTAAATGAGGATTATTTTATATTTAACTCTGATGCTAAAGTTAAACTACCCTGGGGTGCCTTTCCATACAACTACTAACACATGTAGAAGATTTTTATGAATCAAAATATGAATGAATCAAGCATAATCAATGTGAATGTCACTATATATATGAGTTATTCTTTATTATAGTCATGTATTTTACTGTGTGTGCTCAATGAGCTGCCATTAGGCCTATAAGAGAAAACGTGATGACCAGCTGACATGTGATATGAACTGAGACCTCTTTGTGTTACTGTTATGCTGTCATGAGGAGATATAGACTGGGGTCAAAAGTTAATAAGTAATAGTGGCCTGAATGATATGTATTGTTTATGGAAACCTATATAAAAGAGAGAAAGAAAAGACAGATTCTAGAGATTCTCTGCAGAGTCTCTGGGCTTCATTATCAAAACCTGTCTTCTGGCATCAAAACCTTAAGACTTCAAGAGTGATTTCTCACAGAAGAACTAACATTTGGCGCATAAAAAATTTGATTATTGATACTCCCAGACCTGATCTCTGCTATTTTCTGCTAATCACGGTGCAGTTGAATTTTCACATTTATCGAACTAATTATAACTACTTACTCTGTTTATTTTAGACCCAATGAAAGCGAAAGAGCAAAGACAAGAGCTGACTGAAGGGCAGGAGGAACACAGTGACTTCAGAACTCAAAGATTAAGAAAGTAAACGCTGCTCACATTCAGCTGATTGTTCATTGATGGAAAATTGTAAACAGCACCAGAAAACACATAATGATGTGAGAGATCATGTGTGTCTTGAGTGTGGGAAGAGCTTTAAAAAAGCTGCCTGTCTGAAACTGCACAAAAGAATTCACACTGGAGAAAAACAGTACAAGTGCTCATATTGTGACGAGTTTCACTCAGGCAGGAACCATGAAAATACATGAGCGAGTTCACACTGGAGAGAAACCGTATCACTGTACTCAGTGTGAAAAGAGTTTCAGAAGTAAAAATGGTCTGGACTGTCACCTGCTCGTAGAAACCTGACAAGTGCTCATATTGTGACAAGAGTTTCAATCAGTTAGGATCTGAAGGCACATGAGCAGATTCATACTGGAGAGAAGCCCTCCCTGTGAGAAGAGCTTTAGACATTTAAAAAGCCTTAAAAAGCACATGAAAAAATGTCACACGTCGTCACAGTGAGCAATATTTTTGTGTTAAACAGTCAAGTAATTTGTGTGAGATAAACAAAACATAGTTTCACCTAATAGCACAACACCATCTAGTTTAATTTTGTGCATATAACTATAAAGTGTACAATAGAGTGATTCTTGAAGCTTCCATACAGTTCCATATATTTTATGCACTGTCGTTATTGTTTATCTTTTTTTACCTTTTGTGGCTGTGACTCCAGTCTGTTTTTCAACTGATCTCTCAACTCAACTGATCTGTTTTTAAAAAGTAGACAGGAGGCCTCAATTTATGTGAAGTGGAATGAGGAGGCCTCCTCGTATATTGTGTCTAATGTCAAAACAGGATGTCCAGCTTCACCAGATCCTGTATTGTTGTAATGACTGCACATTTCATTCTCTCCGGGCCTCTATCCACACAGGCAAATACATGAATATAATAGCAGAATAGCTTTATACAGAAATGGTTATATTCACATTGATTTGATTAATTCATATTTTGTTTAATACAAAAAATCTTCTGCAAAAGAACCGTAGTTACTTTGATCTCTTGAGATACAGACAATATAAACACACACAGGCATATGTTTTCACACCTTACAGAGTGGAGATGCAGAAAGCTTCCTTCCCTCCTGTCTTTCCTTCACATTTGTTCCTTCAATCCCTCCACCCATTCTTCCCTTCACTCAGAATCAGAATGATTATATAAATACAAAATGTTCTGTGCCAATGCAAGTGAATTAACAGTCATGTTTGGTATAATTTCAAATGTCTCAGTGTGACTAGTATAATGGTTTCAATCTTACAAGAAGTAGACTAAAAGATAATGGATCCTAAGAGTTTAGAGGTGTTTTGTTTACTGTTGGATGTGCCCTTTCCCAATGTCTTTCATGCAAATTACCATCTGCCCCCAAAAGGTGTAAAACTCTCAACATCTATCGGCCTTAATCAATGCAAATTCCAATTGTTAGTTTCTGTCTCCATTTGAAGGATGTTTGTCTTGGTCTGTGTGTAGGCCTACTTTAAGAAAATGTTGCATATATAATCTATATTCCATCTTTCTGAAATCAGATATGCATCCTTTGCTCTTAGTTTTATATTTGAGAATCTGATGTCTTGTTTTGTCATTGAACTTTGAATTGATATCTTTGAATTTTGAAACTTGAATTGATATCTCTGAATTGGCATAATGCATTTTTACCTGACTGATAATAAATTGTTACATTTTTTGTTCTGACTCACTCTGAGATTGTTGACTCAAAGTGTGCTTATAGATAATAATCAGATGTCTAGATAAATTATCCGAATGATTAATAATAACTGGCATGGTAACCTAAATTTGAGGTCATATTAAGATGGAGTCAGATAACAATTAGATTAACAACTTAACAATTAACACATTTTTCATTTCAGTATGAAAACAGAAATATCATAGTCTTGCAGTTTGTCTCAGCACGTTGACACCGATGAAATGTGCTTAATGTGCCAATTTATAAAAGATCTCATCATCATAATGAATGAGCTGAAAACTGAACTATTTGGATGAGACAAAGAGGCTTTTATCATCTGCACATTCACTCTGGAGAAAAGCTATTTAACTGTGATCAGTGTGGTAAATCCTTTATTTTTGCCATCAAAAAAAAAAAAAACATTCATACAAGTAAAACGCCTCATGTGTGATCTTTTTGTGGAAATAATTTTTCAGAACTGGAAGCTTATAAACAGCAGCATCAGAAAATAGATACTGACGTCTGTCTCTGTGTAATAACAAAAATAAATGACTATTTCACTGACAAGATCTTGAGTGACTAGGATACATTGATGTCATCTGCTTAATCATTTACATTTATTAAGTTGGCAGATGCTTTTATCCAAAGCAAGTTACAAATGAGGAATACAACAAGCCACAAACATGTATTAGTGTTCTAAGTGTACAAGAAATGATCAGAAATAATGTCCAAAGCAAAACATTAATACTGTAGCAGGAAATGTTTGGGATGTACAGTCATTACTGTAAAGCTACACAGAGTGATTGTCCATTACTGGCCATATTTTAATCTGTTCAGAGGCATCTACAAATAGACATGAATTTAATTTAATTAAGTAATTTAGTAATTAACTTCATGCCTTTCTGGAGATTACCTTGTATGTGAAATACTTTTATGTTTTCGGTTTTAATTTAAGTTTAATTTAAGTGTTAATTGAAGAATTTACTTGTTTCATCCTTATTTAGGACCCTACAATTTGATGAGCTACCATCCTATACAGCTGTATTATATGCAAATAATATACAACCTTGTCAAAATATTCGGTATTTCTGTATTTAATAAAAGTAATGCATTCAGTAGCACTAATTTGAAGGCATCTGCCCACATGTGATGCAAGCCCCTCCCATACGGAGGTGAGGCCCACCCACTTTGACGTCTCTGGGCTGATACAAACTTGGGAAATATTAGCATCATCCTAGAGGAGAAGGACAAACTCCAAGTGCAGCAGCTGAAATCTGTGACATACTGTGGTAAAGACGGAGTTTGTTAAAGAGGAGATTGAAGACATGAGTGATCCAGAACCATCCAGAATAAAACATGAAGATACCGAGGAACAAACAGGTTGGTGTTCATTTTCGAGTCTTCGTTATTAACTACTGAGGTTCAGCTGAATTTTTGCATTTCTCATTTTTGAACTATTTCTAACTTTTACAATTAGACCAGATGAAAGTGACAGAGCAAAGACAAGGACTGAGTGAAGAGGAGGAGAAACACTGTGACTTAAAAACTCAAAGAGTAAAAGCCAAAAAGCTGCAGACCTGTGATCAGCGTGGTAAAGATTCATCAAATCTGAAAACACACATGAAGGACCATATAAATGAGAAACCTCTCTCGTGTTCTTTCCATGGAAAGAGTCGCTCATTGATGGAAAATTGTAAACAGCGCCAGGGAACTCATAATGAAGTGAAAGAACATGTGTGTTTGGATTGTGGGAAGAGCTTCACTAAAGTTAGCCGTTTGAAACTGCACAAAAGGATTCACACTGGAGAAAAACCTCACAAGTGCTCATATTGTGACAAGAGTTTCACTCAGGCAGGAACCATGAAAATACATGAGCGAGTTCACACTGGAGAGAAGCCGTATCACTGTACTCAGTGTGGAAAGAGTTTCAGATATAGAAGTGATCTCAATTTTCATCTGCTCATTCACTCTGGAGAAAGACCATTTACCTGTGATCAGTGTGGTACAGATTTTAAATTAGCAATACTTCTAAAAAACCACATGAAAATTCATACAAATGTGAGACCGTATGCATGTTCATTTTGTGGAAAGTGTTTTGCTCGACTGGATCATTGTAAACGGCACCAGAAAAAACACATCAGCAAGAAAGATCATGTGTGTTGCGAGTGTGGGAAGAGCTTTACTAGAGCTGATAATCTGCAACAGCACCAAAGAATCCATACTGGAGAGAAACCTTACAAGTGCTCACATTGTGACAAGAGTTTCACTCAGTCTGGAAACCTGAAAGCACATGAGCGAGTTCACACTGGAGAGAAGCCGTACTACTGCCCTCCCTGTGAGAAGAGTTTTAGATTTTTAAAAGGCCTTGAAAGTCACATGAAAATATGTACTAATTTGTCACAGTGAGCAACATTTTCATGTTAGAACAGCCTAGTAAATAGTGTGAGATAAACAAAATATTGAGTTTCTCCAGAATAAAACATGAAGATACCGAGGAACAAACAGGTTGGTGTTCATTTTCGAGTCTTCGTTATTAACTACTGAGGTTCAGCTGAATTTTTGCATTTCTCATTTTTGAACTATTTCTAACTTTTACAATTAGACCAGATGAAAGTGACAGAGCAAAGACAAGGACTGAGTGAAGAGGAGGAGAAACACTGTGACTTAAAAACTCAAAGAGTAAAAGCCAAAAAGCTGCAGACCTGTGATCAGCGTGGTAAAGATTCATCAAATCTGAAAACACACATGAAGGACCATATAAATGAGAAACCTCTCTCGTGTTCTTTCCATGGAAAGAGTCGCTCATTGATGGAAAATTGTAAACAGCGCCAGGGAACTCATAATGAAGTGAAAGAACATGTGTGTTTGGATTGTGGGAAGAGCTTCACTAAAGTTAGCCGTTTGAAACTGCACAAAAGGATTCACACTGGAGAAAAACCTCACAAGTGCTCATATTGTGACAAGAGTTTCACTCAGGCAGGAACCATGAAAATACATGAGCGAGTTCACACTGGAGAGAAGCCGTATCACTGTACTCAGTGTGGAAAGAGTTTCAGATATAGAAGTGATCTCAATTTTCATCTGCTCATTCACTCTGGAGAAAGACCATTTACCTGTGATCAGTGTGGTACAGATTTTAAATTAGCAATACTTCTAAAAAACCACATGAAAATTCATACAAATGTGAGACCGTATGCATGTTCATTTTGTGGAAAGTGTTTTGCTCGACTGGATCATTGTAAACGGCACCAGAAAAAACACATCAGCAAGAAAGATCATGTGTGTTGCGAGTGTGGGAAGAGCTTTACTAGAGCTGATAATCTGCAACAGCACCAAAGAATCCATACTGGAGAGAAACCTTACAAGTGCTCACATTGTGACAAGAGTTTCACTCAGTCTGGAAACCTGAAAGCACATGAGCGAGTTCACACTGGAGAGAAGCCGTACTACTGCCCTCCCTGTGAGAAGAGTTTTAGATTTTTAAAAGGCCTTGAAAGTCACATGAAAATATGTACTAATTTGTCACAGTGAGCAACATTTTCATGTTAGAACAGCCTAGTAAATAGTGTGAGATAAACAAAATATTGAGTTTCTCTCAAAAGCACAAAAACATCTAGTTTAATTTTGTGAATTTTGACTTGTTCTTAGTCTGATTAAGGAACTATAGAGTGTAGGATGTTAGAGCGAATCAGACAGCTATAATGTGAGCAGAACTGAGCAAAAGCAGAAGAATTCCAGGGGCCCCAAAGGCAACATGGATGACCTTGAGTCAGATTTCCTGCCGCCAACAAGTCTGGAGCGACATACCAGCTATCTCCTTCACAGAAGAAGATTGTTACATTTAGGCGGATAACTCAAGATTAATGGTGGAAGAGACGACACATCCGACTCTCTTCCCCCCGAGGACAGAGAGCAAAACCTTTTGACCTTCCTCACAGAACAGGATTCTTACTCTCAGAACCGCTTGCAGCATGGCTGCCATAACATATAAAAAATGCATAAGATCATCCAACTTATAACCAAACATCATTCCATTGCATAATGCCACATTATCTCTGTAACCCAATCATTTGACTATCCTGTTTTAATCACTCGTTGTTTATGTGCAGTGCTTGAAGTGGGCAAAAAAGTGCCGGTACTCCCCCTACCCCCATTCAAAAATACAAATAAAATAGAAATACATTATGGGTGCAAGTTTTTCAGTCTGGTTCTCATGAGAGCACTTGGAGATTTGGTTTGGTGCTCACACTGCACATCATGTGACCCATTAAATAGAACTACAAAGATTTTATTAATAGTAGTAATATTATAATATAGTTTATCTTTATTTATTTATTTGAACAAAATAATAAACAAATTAATAATAATTCAGACGTGTGGAAAACTCCAATGTACATGTACATGTAATGATTGATTTATATAAATGCTTAAATGTTTTTTTTTATATATTTAAATCTGATGTTAAAGTAAAACTACTCAAGGGTTTGTTTCCATACAACAGTTAACTCACTGTTTAAAATCTAGTGTTTTATAACAAAGAATTGCTTCTTATTGATCTTTTTCATGTGCTGATACTATACCGCATTACCAAAATGCTCTGTATTTCGAACAGGAAATATGTTTAATTAATTTCAGCATAACTGAAGTAGTTTAGTGCAAATTAAGTCCTCTATTTTTGATTTCTCCAGATCTGGTCCTGTGGGTCTCAGTATCAGACAATGATCAGTGAAGCCCCTCCCACAACAATTCACCTATAAATACTGGAGAATATTCACATCATCCTACAAGAGAAGAACAAGCTCTAGGTGCAGCAGCTGAAATCTGTGACTTTTAAAGACAGAGTTTATTAAAGAGGAGATTGAAGACATGAGTTATTCAGAACCATCCAGAATAAAACATGAAGATACTGAGGAACAAACAGGTTGGTTCTTTAGTTTTCATTATTGACTGTTTTTGTTAGATGTGAAATTTTGATCAGTATATATCCTGTTGAAAAAAACAGCATGCTGTTTTTTCAACAGGGTATGGATGATAAATGATACAGAATTGCTTTTAAATGATCATAAGCCTGTTGTCATCAACATTCAATTGAACTAACAAGATAATTAACCATTGGCACATCAAAGATCTGACATACAAATATCTAATCTCTATTGTTTTCTGCTGTTAAATTATCTGGAATCAACTGATTCTAACTTATTATTTTAGACTGGATGGACATGAAAGAGCAAAGACAAGAACTGAATGAAGAGGAGGAGAAACACTGTGACTTCAAAACTCAAAGAACAAAAGCCAAAAAGCTGCAGACCTGCTCACAGTGCGAAAAGAGTGTCTCACACAAAGGAAACCTTAAGGAACACAAGAGAATCCACACTGGAGAGAAACCATACACATGCCCTCAGTGTGGAAAGAGTTTTTCACAACTAGACACTTATAAACAGCATCAGAAAACACATAATGTAGTGAGAGATCACGTGTGTTTGGATTGTGGGAAGAGCTTTACTAAAGTTACCAGTTTGAAACTGCACAAAAGGATTCACACTGGAGAAAAACCTCACAAGTGCTCATATTGTGACAAGAGTTTCACTCAGGCAGGAACCATGAAAATACATGAGCGAGTTCACACTGGAGAGAAGCCGATTACCTGTGATCAGTGTGGTACAGATTTTAAATCATCAACATTTCTAAAAGAACACATGCATTTTCATACAAATGAAAGGCCTTATGCATGTTTTTATTGTGGAAAGAGTTTTGCTCGGCTAAATCATTGTAAAGTGCACCAGAAAATACACACCGGTGAGAAAGATCATGTGTGTTGTGAGTGTGGGAAGAGCTTTACTAGAGCTGATAATCTTGATAAAACTTTACTAGAGCTGATCATACTTGATAAAATGTAAGTCATCAGAGTGAGCAACATTTTCAGGATTAAACTGTTAAACAAAATATATTCACCCAAAAGCACAACACCATCTAGTTTCATTTTGTGAATTTGATTTCACAGTCTGATTAAGGAACTATAGAATGATGCTCGAAGCTTCACCAAGATAATAATTCTTACAGTGTAAATCATTTTTATCTTTCCTACTGGGTAATTAGTTTGCTAAATGTGTCATGCTTTACTGTGTGTTGATCAGTTCTTGCTTGAATAAGCCACATTCTTGTCATTTACTAATTTCCTATATTGTGTTCTGGTTGTACATGAGTTGGAAAATATTAAACTGAAAGAAAAAAAAAAGTTTTCATTATTTACAGATGATTTTAACTGCGGCAATATTTTGCAAGACAATCACTGGTGTATAATTTGATTTGAATGACAAAAGTGACAAAACATGTATCATCTGAATCACTACATTCTTTTGTTTAATTATATTTAACTTCTACACACACATTTTTAATTTCAGTATAAAAACAGAAATATCATAGATGATAATCCTGTCTCCGTACCATGAGACAATATTATATGTAAGAATGCTGTCAATCGTTGACCTGTATACCATAGTTAGAGTCTGTGTACTAACATTAAAGTTCCTCAATTTTCTAAGAAGACCAAGGCGCTGGCTTGCCTTCTTATAGACAGACTCTACATTACTTTCAAAGTTGAGTTTATCGTCAATAATTGTTCCTAAATATTTAAAATTCGAGACCTGCTCTGCAATTTGTCTTTTTATAATGACTGGTTTATATGGGCTTGTATCTACTATTCTTGTTTGACTCCTCAAGCATAGCTCTTTTGTCCTTCCAATATTAAGATGTAAAAAGCTACTATCAAGCCAACCAATAATGCTATTGATAATGAAGAGCTATTAATTTCTTTCTGACAGGAAACCAGTGCCATATCATCAGCATACTTTATGACGGAGAGATTATCATCATCACACTGCAGTTCATTGACGTATACAGAGAATAATATTGGAGATAATACACATCCCTGGGGTACCCCAGTATTTGAAACCAAGCAGTCAGACATGACATTATGTTTTTTAAAAATCTTTAATCCATGAAATCAACCAACTACTAACACCTAAATTGTGAAGATGCTTTAAAAGAAGGTTAGGTTGGACAGTATTAAAAGCAGACGAAAAATCCATGAAAACACATATTCTAACACACATATATGACTTATCTAAATGATGTTGAACTTTATTCAAAAGAGTAAGAGAGGCATCCACAGTGCTCCGATTGGCCCGATAGGCAAACTGCAGGGGAACCTCTCAATTTGGGATGACAATTCCTTACACACTATGCGTTCCATACATTTGCAGAAAACTGATGTGAGCGCAATTAGACGAAAGTCATTTAACAATTTTGCATGAGGTATTTTTGGTACCGGGATAACAATAGAATTCTTCCAGGTCAATGGTACAAAGCTATTGTCCAGAAAGATTTGAAACATCCTTGTACACACATATCCCAGTTGTTCTGCACATTCTTTCAAGACTTTCCCCTTCAAGCCATCCGGGCCAGATGCCTTGTGTGATTTAACTTTGCGAACCTCTCTTTCCTGTATGGTCTGTATATGCCAATATATGAAACAATTTCCTCAATTTGAGTTTTTAACTTTTAAAATGGACTTTTTGAGTTTGATCCCAGATAAACTGAATTGAGCTTGATCCCATTGAAAGTCAACATTTAGCCTACTAAAAAAAAATAGCTAAAAATTAGGCTATGCCATCAATATGTCATCAGTCGTCACTTTTTTCACTTTCACTTTCAATAAAGGTCAATTATGCTCGTGGTAGCTGAAATTGCACATGCATTTGCGAATCGTATTATAAAGTTTAGGGTTCATTTAAATGAATTCAACAAATGTTTGTGATGCTATTTAAATTTGTATTTTTTATTTAGTTATCGCTGTTTTTCTGTTTGTATGAATATAAAACATACAGGCCTATTTATAAAATATGAAAATTGTTTAGTTTATCTATAATAGAATAATGTTAGGGCATTCAAATTTAAACAGCACACTTAAAATAACAGGGAAACATCCAAAATGGGTTATGTGAACAATGTAATGTTGAAGAAAAAATACCTCATGTATTTCTTGAATGTAGTAGGCCTATATACGAACAAGAAAGGGGAAAATGATAGAAGAAATAAAGAAAAAAAAATGGAGTTCAAGAATTACATTTTAAGGTTTTAATAAAATGGTCAAGTTAAATAAACATTGAAGTCTTCTTTGATTTTATTAGAGAGACTGGACTGAATAGAATATAAAACTCTGTTCCACACTCCGGAGCAGAAGGTGGCGGTAATGCACCGATTTACGTTGGTTGCCAGCCGCCGTTAAAAACGAAGAAGAAGAAGAAGAAGAAGAAATATATGTGTATTTTTAGTCTGTAATGTGTTGCAACTTGTGAGAGATGTTCCCGATTTACAGAGTTTGACATGAACCACCCTGATAGAAGAGGTATTTAACTATTAATAAACAGACGCACTGCTTTTGTATTAGCATTGAATATACGTGAATTCTTCTTTGTTTTGTTTTGTTTGATGCTAACATTGTTAAGAAAGGACGTGCCAAGCAAGTTATAATGTAAGATTTTAACCCTTTATCGTTATTTAGAGTCCCAGGGTTACTTAAAGATGAGATTGCTTCTAATAGAGCTGTTTATATACTAATAATGTACCGCTTTACTTATACAAATATGTTCAGTATAAATTGAGTCCCCTTTTTTGTGGGTCTCAGTATCAGACAATGATCAGTGAAGCCCCTCCCACAACAATTCACCTATAAATACTGGAGAATATTCACATCATCCTACAAGAGAAGAACAAGCTCCAAGGTGCAGCAGCTGAAATCTGTGACTTTTAAAGACAGAGTTTGTTAAAGAGGAGATTGAAGACATGAGTGATACAGAACCATCCAGAATAAAACATGAAGATACTGAGGAACAAACAGGTTGGTGTCCATTCATGATTCCTTGTTATTGACTGTGTTGGTAGCTATGAAATATTAAGTAGTAGGCCTATATGGATGGTAAACGCAGTGTTCACTTGAACTGATTCTAACTTGTTTATTTTAGACTGGATGGAGATGAAAGAGCAAAGACAAGAACTGAACGAAGAGGAGGAGAAACGTGACTTCAACACTCAAAAAACACAAACCAAACCGCTGCACACCTGCTCACAGTGCGAAAAGAGTTTCAAGTGCAAAGGATACCTTAAAAAGCACATGATAGTCCACACTGGAGAGAAATCGTACACATGTGCTCAGTGTGGAAAGAGTTATTCGCGACTGGACACTTATAAACGGCATCAGAAAAAACACAATGGAGAGAAACGGTACAACCTCCGTGTAAAACGTAAAAAAAAGACTTTCACAAATACAGGTAGTCTCAAAAATCATCTGCACGTTCATGCTAGAAAAAAGTCGTATAACTGTGATCAGTGTGGTAAAGATTTAAATTCATTGTCGGGTCTCAGTCGACACATGAAGTTGCATAGAAATGAGAGGCCTTATTGCTGCTCTTACTGTGGAAAGAGTTTTACACAGCTGAGCAATTGTAAACAGCACCAGAAAATACACACCGGCAAGAGAGATCATGTGTGTCGTGAGTGTGGAAAGAGCTTTATTACAGCTGGTGATTTAAAAAGGCACTTAAAAATTCATACTGGAGAAAAACCTCACAAGTGCTCATATTGTGACAAGAGTTTCATTCGGCCTGAACACTTGAGAATACACGAGCGAGTTCATAGTGGAGAGAAGCCGTATTACTGTACTCAGTGTGGAGAGAGTTTCCAACGTTTCCGTGGTCTGGTGATTCATATGGAAAAACATTGTTCTGCGTCACAGTGAGCAAATGTTATCTACAGATTGAATGCTTTTAAAAAACAATTTAAAAAATATGAGATTCAGATAAAGCAAACATGAAGAGTGTCATTACATTTTATTTTTTAATGGATGGATATGTATGTTTTTTCCTTTGAATGTATGGGTTCTGTATAATAGCAAAAAATAAAAATTGTTTTGTCTTTGTATGATTTTAAGAAATGTGTTAGTCCCTTATTATAGTATTTTAGTCAAATGTTTGAACCTGTTCTTCTAATTCAGAGGCAGGAACAGATTTTAAAATAGCTTTCAAAGGTGATGATTTTGCATCATCTTTTACAGTAGATCTCAGACATCATCATAATAAAATTAGGGAACTATTGTTCTATTGAACTCATGTTCTTTCCATGGAAAGAGTTTGATGTGATTTTTGAAGCTTCACCAGAAAATAATATCTTTCTGGGTAATTAGTTTGCAAAATGTATCAGGCTGGACTGTATGCTATTAGCAGGTTTTGCTTTAATAAGACATATTCATGTCATTTACTTGTTTACTATAGTGTGTGCTGATTGTACCCAAGATGAAAAATAATAAAAAATAAACGAACTTAAAAAAGTTGATAGTTTTTTTTATATACAGATGGTTTCAAATTTCCAATAAGTTGCGAGACAATACTCATAGGTGTATACTTTACCTTGAATAATGCAAGTTCAATGACAAAACATGTATCATCTGAAACACCGGATTCTGTTGTTTAAAGGGGTCATATGATGCTATTTTAAAGATCATTATTTTGTGTATTTGGTGTAACAGAATATGTTGACATGCTTTAATGTTCAAAAAACACCCGCTGCACACCTGCTCACAGTGCGAAAAGAGTTTCAAGTGCAAAGGATACCTTAAAAAGCACATGATAGTCCACACTGGAGAGAAATCGTACACATGTGCTCAGTGTGGAAAGAGTTATTCGCGACTGGACACTTATAAACGGCATCAGAAAAAACACAATGGAGAGAAACGGTACAACCTCCGTGTAAAACGTAAAAAAAAGACTTTCACAAATACAGGTAGTCTCAAAAATCATCTGCACGTTCATGCTAGAAAAAAGTCGTATAACTGTGATCAGTGTGGTAAAGATTTAAATTCATTGTCGGGTCTCAGTCGACACATGAAGTTGCATAGAAATGAGAGGCCTTATTGCTGCTCTTACTGTGGAAAGAGTTTTACACAGCTGAGCAATTGTAAACAGCACCAGAAAATACACACCGGCAAGAGAGATCATGTGTGTCGTGAGTGTGGAAAGAGCTTTATTACAGCTGGTGATTTAAAAAGGCACTTAAAAATTCATACTGGAGAAAAACCTCACAAGTGCTCATATTGTGACAAGAGTTTCATTCGGCCTGAACACTTGAGAATACACGAGCGAGTTCATAGTGGAGAGAAGCCGTATTACTGTACTCAGTGTGGAGAGAGTTTCCAACGTTTCCGTGGTCTGGTGATTCATATGGAAAAACATTGTTCTGCGTCACAGTGAGCAAATGTTATCTACAGATTGAATGCTTTTAAAAAACAATTTAAAAAATATGAGATTCAGATAAAGCAAACATGAAGAGTGTCATTACATTTTATTTTTTAATGGATGGATATGTATGTTTTTTCCTTTGAATGTATGGGTTCTGTATAATAGCAAAAAATAAAAATTGTTTTGTCTTTGTATGATTTTAAGAAATGTGTTAGTCCCTTATTATAGTATTTTAGTCAAATGTTTGAACCTGTTCTTCTAATTCAGAGGCAGGAACAGATTTTAAAATAGCTTTCAAAGGTGATGATTTTGCATCATCTTTTACAGTAGATCTCAGACATCATCATAATAAAATTAGGGAACTATTGTTCTATTGAACTCATGTTCTTTCCATGGAAAGAGTTTGATGTGATTTTTGAAGCTTCACCAGAAAATAATATCTTTCTGGGTAATTAGTTTGCAAAATGTATCAGGCTGGACTGTATGCTATTAGCAGGTTTTGCTTTAATAAGACATATTCATGTCATTTACTTGTTTACTATAGTGTGTGCTGATTGTACCCAAGATGAAAAATAATAAAAAATAAACGAACTTAAAAAAGTTGATAGTTTTTTTTATATACAGATGGTTTCAAATTTCCAATAAGTTGCGAGACAATACTCATAGGTGTATACTTTACCTTGAATAATGCAAGTTCAATGACAAAACATGTATCATCTGAAACACCGGATTCTGTTGTTTAAAGGGGTCATATGATGCTATTTTAAAGATCATTATTTTTTAAAGACAGAGTTTGTTAAAGAGGAGATTGAAGACATGAGTGATACAGAACCATCCAGAATAAAACATGAAGATACTGAGGAACAAACAGGTTGGTGTCCATTCATGATTCCTTGTTATTGACTGTGTTGGTAGCTATGAAATATTAAGTAGTAGGCCTATATGGATGGTAAACGCAGTGTTCACTTGAACTGATTCTAACTTGTTTATTTTAGACTGGATGGAGATGAAAGAGCAAAGACAAGAACTGAACGAAGAGGAGGAGAAACGTGACTTCAACACTCAAAAAACACAAACCAAACCGCTGCACACCTGCTCACAGTGCGAAAAGAGTTTCAAGTGCAAAGGATACCTTAAAAAGCACATGATAGTCCACACTGGAGAGAAATCGTACACATGTGCTCAGTGTGGAAAGAGTTATTCGCGACTGGACACTTATAAACGGCATCAGAAAAAACACAATGGAGAGAAACGGTACAACCTCCGTGTAAAACGTAAAAAAAAGACTTTCACAAATACAGGTAGTCTCAAAAATCATCTGCACGTTCATGCTAGAAAAAAGTCGTATAACTGTGATCAGTGTGGTAAAGATTTAAATTCATTGTCGGGTCTCAGTCGACACATGAAGTTGCATAGAAATGAGAGGCCTTATTGCTGCTCTTACTGTGGAAAGAGTTTTACACAGCTGAGCAATTGTAAACAGCACCAGAAAATACACACCGGCAAGAGAGATCATGTGTGTCGTGAGTGTGGAAAGAGCTTTATTACAGCTGGTGATTTAAAAAGGCACTTAAAAATTCATACTGGAGAAAAACCTCACAAGTGCTCATATTGTGACAAGAGTTTCTAGATTTAATATCTATACACATTTTTTTTTCAACTTAAAAACAAATATCATGACTGTAATGTATTTGTTCATTGTTTGTTTCAAATTGTTTTATTGCACAATGATTACTGGCTGTTTGGCTTAGTTTAATGTTAATGACTACAGCTGTGAAAAAATAATTAAAAAGCAAATAATCTATAGGGATCCATGACATATTGAAAGTACATAGATCTGATCATAATCTTGTATAGCAGCTGTCATCCACATTTTGATTGTATGAACATGAGAATGACAGAAACTCAAAGATCTGATACTTCATAAAGTATCTCAAATACCTCTGTTGCTTTGGGTTCAAACTAATTTGGACATTTATCCTCCTTGAACTGATTCTAACTATTTTATGTTTCTTTTAGTCCAAATGGAAGTGAAATGGCAAAGACAAGAACTGAACATAGTGAAATTTCAATGGTGATGATCCTGTAGTTTGTCTCAGTCTGCTGACACACAATCAAATGTGCTTAATGTGCCAATTTACAGAAGATCTCAGACATCATCAGAATGAATGAGGAGAAAACAGCGGATTTTAAACATGACGGCTCTGTTATTTTGATCTTTTGTTGTTTAGGCCTATATATTACAAACAGACATTGTGCATTATCACAGGTTTCTGCATATTTAAATTAGGTGATCTATAGGGGCGGGACCATTGATCTATATATAATTATAGATCAGTGGGCGGGACCGATGAGCGACACGCCCATCTCCTCAATCGCTCACGCTGATGTTTCTTTTCTGGCGCTCTTTCAAACTTTCAGATGCGTGGAAAACTCCTCCAAAATAGAGAGCACAGGTAAATATTGATTTCTATGAATATTGACAAGAGGGGTTTATTTTATTTTTTTTATTCAGTTATTTTTGTTCAGTTATTTTTGATTTCTCCAGATCTGGTCTTAGGGGCGTAAATCGCGGTGGGAGGGGGGTTATCCCCCTTAAAAATATAATTACAGACCACTCTGTGTATTTTACATAATATAATGGACATATACTTAAAATAATTGTGTAAGTAAAACAATATAAACGCATAAAAGCCTTTTAAGTTTAGAAACGTTGTGAGTCCCCCCTCCCTTGCCTCGCAGTGGTTTGGTCCACTGCCTGCTTTCCCCCTTTACTTCACTGACATACGAGTCCGGTCGAGAGAACAATGTTCTTCAGTAGGCCTATTATGTGTAAGTAGGCTGTTAAGGCTATTTTATTCACTTTAGACATCGGATGAAGTGATTCTTTCTCTTTAATACAGATGATGCTGGATCATTAATAAATTAGTTATGACAAAAAATGATGACATCCGATGTATTTTCTATGAGCGATGAGTAATAATACTTCGTTACAGTACTTAAGTATTTTTTGGGAGTATTTGTACTTTACTTGAGTTTTTATATTTCAGCCAACTTTTACTTTTACTCCACTACATTTCCTAATTAAAATGTATACTTTTACTCCGATACGTTTCGCCGAAGCATATTCGTTACTTACTACAAAATAGTCAGAAGTGATCTTTACTTAATATCCTAATGATTTTTGGAATAAAAGAAAAATCAACAATTTTGACCCATACAATGTATTGTTTGCTATTGCTACAAATATAACTGTGCTACTTATGACTGGTTTTGAGCTCCAGGGTCACATATGCTGTATGAAAGTCCTGTTGCTCATAATATCATTGGCTCTGTTTGTTGTGTAATGTAAAATAAGTAAAAAAAAAAATAAAAAAAAAATCTTCACATTTCCCTTCCAACAAAAATTTGGCAATATATGCTGGGATGTTCACTTAACGTTCACATAACCCAAAAATAACAAAACCATGTTTTTAAACATGTAATAAACTGGATTTTTAAATATTCAGAGAAATAACATTTTCATAACTCAATGGGAACATACCCAGCTGTTCTAAGAATGTTTTACTAACATTCTCATTAAGTTATGAAAATGTTCAAATTTTTCTTGGTTATGCAAACGTTAGAGAAAATATGTAAGTATATGTAAGTATTTTTATATGTAAATATGTTCCATTTTATCATGTTGCAAACACATTGTTTTTAAATGTTTATTATTTTTGGAAATTCTGAAACAATTAGTAAGAACTTTTTTTATTAATTCTAAAAAAACGAATTCATGATGGGAATGCTATTAAAGACTTTGAACGAAAGTTTTATTTTTGTTACCAGAAGAACTTTTGTAATAACTGTGAATGAACCTTACCAGAATGTTAGCTACAATTCTGAGAATATTTCTAGTTAGTAGCCTAGTAGCTGGTTTCTATAGCCTAGTAAAAGTGTAGTGACCCTGAGTGTCATGCTTACATTTGCATATTGTATGACATTTTATATATATGATACTAACTAAATTGAAATACATGTAAACAAACAGGTAGGCTATATTTGATGGATTTGGGAATTAGGCTATGTTATTTTGTATGTGTTATTTTGTCACTATTTATCTTACATTTATTGGTTTCAGGTTCTTTAATATTTGGTTGATATCTGAGGGAGTCTCAGATATAATATTGAGTTATAATGACGCAAGATGAGACAGAAACATAAAACGTTCTTCATGATCTTCATGTGTCAAGCTAAACTTTGCATATCACAAGTCATTTCAGATAGGAACCTAGCCAATTTGAAATCCTGCATTGATTTAAAATTCTCTTCATTGTTTTGTCTCAATGGGAATAAAATAATGAATTATTTTATTTGCAAACGTCTCCAGTAAAAGTAAAGTTTGAGATTTGAATCCGCATCAAATGAGTTTTGGCTTTCCGCGCCCCCTGGAGGAAGACAAGCGAATAACAGCTGCTGCTCAATACGCATGCGTGCTACGGCAGATGTTCACGACAGTGCAGAGAAAACCTATGGAGCGACATAACTGTGTGACATATTGTGGTAAAGATGGAGTTTATTAAAGAGGAGATCGACGACATGAGTGATCCAGAACCATCCAGAATAAAACATGAAGATACTGAGGAACAAACAGGTTGGTGTCCATTCATAATTCTTCAATATTGATGACCACTGACTGAGGAGCATTAAGGTAAACAAACATAAATTCAATATTTGTGGTGGCTGTAATTGATAATTATATAATCATATAACGTAATAATTATAAAAAATTATAATAATTATAAAATCACATGAATCGTTATAATATAAAGATGGGTAAATAAAAATGCATTTCAATAAAGATAACCTCGTATAGCTATATTTATCTTCACATAAATACTTGACTATGGAAGCCCGTTTCTGCCACGGAATAAAAAAATATCAATATTCGGGACTTTTTTCCCCACAATTCTGAGTTGTTGTTTTTTTCTGTCAGAATTGCTAGATATAAATTGCAAGCAAAAACAGTTTGAAAAATGTTTAAAAATCGAATTTTGAGGGGAAAAGTCGCAATTGCCTTTGTAGTGTTGTATCCTGATATAAACTCACAATTCTCCAGAATTGCATGATCTAAACTCAATTCTGGGAAGAAAAGTCTAAATTTTAAACGTTTTTTCATAATTTTCAGAAAAAAGTCCGAATTGTGAGATAAAAGTCATTGCAAAGGATGAATCAAATTATTATTATTTTTTTGTTTTTATTTGATTGTCGATGTTTGTGATGATACATTTGTATTAAACCTTAAATCCAGAAAAAAAAAAAAACTATTATTATTAAAAAAAATGCAATAAAAATTTTAAATTGTTAAAGTTACATGAATTCAATTGATTACCTTTTGTTATTGATACAATGTTCCATGCTTGACCTTTTACTATATTTACATTTATTGGTCATTTTCAAAGATTTAATATGTTCATTTTTAGACCTGATGGAAGTGAAGGAGGAACGTTTAGAACTGAACGAAGAGGAACATTTCATTACTGTAGAAAATAATTCCTCCCAAAACGGAGCTCAAAGAACAGAAGCCAAAAACCCTGTGACCTGCCCTCAATGTAAAAAGAGTTTCACGCAAAAAGGAAGCCTCATTAGTCACATCAGAATCCACACCGGAGAGCGTCCGTACACGTGTCCGCACTGCGGGAGGAGCTTCGCACGTAAATACAGCTTGAATGTGCACTTAAGAGTCCATACTGGAGAGAAACCCTACACCTGTCCTCAATGTGCGAAGACTTTCACGCAAAAGGTACACCTGAACAGTCACCTAAGAATTCACACTGGAAAGAAACCATTCGTATGTCATCAGTGCGGAAGCGGTTTCACACGTAACGACAGCTTGAAGAACCACTCCAGAATTCACACTGGCATGAAGTCCTTTATTTGCCCTGAGTGTGGAAAGAGCTTTAACTGGGCTCACAATTTCAACAATCATCTGCGCTCTCATTCTGGAGTGAAGCCTTTCAGCTGCGATCAGTGTGGCGAAAAATGCCCGTCTGCATCCGCTTTAAGATACCACCTCCAAGCTCATACAAATGAAAGGCCTCACTTGTGTTCTTCGTGCGGAAAGAGTTTTGCACGGCTGGACTCTTTTAGAGCGCACCAGAAACTGCATAGCGGCGTGAGACCTTACCTGTGTTCAGACTGCGGCAGGACGTTTAATAAAGCCACCAACTTGAAAGAGCACCAGAAGATTCATATCGGTGAAAGACCGTACAAGTGTTCGCTTTGTGACAAGAGTTACAGTCAGTCGGGATCCTTGAAAGCACACGAGCGACTTCATACAGGAGAGAGACCGTATCGCTGCACTCAGTGTGGAAAGAGTTTCTTCAAATCAAGTCATCTAGTGGCACATATAAAAATGCACCGTCCGACTCCGAAGGCTTCACAGTGAGCAACTGTGATTTTAGATAGTTCAAAGTCTGATTTTGGTTTATCTAAGAAGATATTTCCTGGTATAAGTGCAGTGTTTTGTGCGAATAATGTAAAGAAATTAATTGTAGCTGATAAAAGTGAATAAAGCCCTTTTTTTTTTCTAAGCACTTTACTTTTATTTGAAAGCAATTTTGAGATTCGGGGTTTTCAAAATGTGTT